CTGCTGTATAATAGTTCACAATTTTTCACGAAATACTTTTATAATCAGTTGTTTTCTATTGAACCCTCGTCTACTCCCTTTTCTGCAGCCGACCGTATCACCTGTTTTTTTTATTTTTCGAAAAATGACAAATATGAGAAAAATAGAAAATGGCGACTGTACAGTACGACTGAGATGGCTATAAAAAAAAAATTCGTTAGATTTAAAATAATAAAAATTCATAGAAATCGGATTGAAAAAAATAATAAAATAAAACATGGACCACTTGGGAAATTCGTTTTCAGTCAACCACCTCGGCCGATCAAATTGAACCATTAACGATAATAAAAAATAACACGGCCGAGACGTTTATTAATAAATTTGTATGCGTTCAAGTGTTCAAATCGCTTTAAAATATATCGATTTGGCAAATCAAAATGATATCTTCCCAGTAGAAGTTAAATCTAGATAGTCAATTATATACGAGTATAAAAGTTACACACATTGGCCTTGTGGTCTTTCCTCGAAAAAAATGTCGTTTGATTACATTATTTGATAATGTTTGTGATATACTATGGTATTTTATCATTTTAATCTCCGTAGATTTGTTCAGTTTTATTTATAACGTATAGGATTGTGTATAAAATTAAAAAAAAAAAAAATTAATTTATATACTATATAAAGTACTGATATAAAATCTGTGACTGTATTTTTAGTTATTTTGAGTTAATAATGTTTTATTTATTCATTTATTTTTTTGTTTACAGGTAAGTTCAATTATTATGGATATATTTGTAACGGTACATAATATAATGGTTCGTAAATTCAAACAGTTTCTCGGTAAGTGAAAACAGTAGTTAAAAACAATTATACGTTAACGTCGACAACTTGGAAATAACGACAAATTCGATTGTATTTATTATTATACTGTGTTTTGTTTTTTTTTTTTTTTTTAATGAGCATAATGTACATTATTTGTATCAATAGATCGTTTTCTTTGGCCGTATTTTGAGGTAGCATTGCCAAAATTACTTTCGGGTGTTATATCCATAGAATCTTGCATATAGTGATAGATAATACCTACTATGCTCGCGAGTCCGTATCGTAAATAATATTCTAGAAACATATAAAAATTATAATATTATAGGTACGTATATATAGAAGCAGATTCGGTCCCTTTTTTCCTTTACATATATAATATATTTCTTTATTTTGATGTTTGCAATTAGATTATTAGATTTTTATTCGACTTACGAAAACATTATGCTCAACATTCGTTTATGGTCTCCGTCTTATAAACGTACAATATCGTATGAAAATTAAAATAACGAAAATAAAACAACGAAAAAACACAGATAATTTTCTTAAATTTCCGATTGATAGGTTAACTTACTCGAATATTACAACAAACAACACAAAGTAGTCTCTTCCGAACGCAAATTTGCGGACGTTTTTTTTTTTTTTTTTAAGATTCAATTAATACATATGTACCGTCCTCTCAATAATAATAATATTTAAATACGATATTTTATGTATAGTTATATCTGACATCAAATTTCAAATGTATATTTGTAATTTTGTTAATTTTGCCGTTAGAGAAATTTATTTCTTGTTATTATTGTATAGTTTAACATATTAACAGTATTTAGTAAATATTGTAAATAATTATAACTGAATATTGTAAATAATCATAATCCGCAGTGGTTTTCACGAATAATAAGTTTATACAACTTAAAACAAAAAAGAAAAAGAAGTTAATTTTTATAAATTGTTTTTTGCCCATTAAATTGTATACCTAAAGAATTGTAACGTCATAACAATATTTCGTGGTTATTAAAAATATCATATTATAATCGTTTAATTTAAAATTTCAATTATAGGTTTTATTTTTACTTGAACCAATCTTTAAAGCTTCGGGCAATTTTTTGCAGGACGTTCCAGAGTTCATCGATATTTGTTTACTACTTTTTTTTTTTTAAATACACAATAAAAATACAAACAAGAATAAATTCAATCATATTAGGTATAAATATAGCTACAGGTACAAATATTATTACAATAATTTGACACTAAAATATTATTTTATTGAGAAAAATTATTTATAACATAATATTATATTCGATATTAGTCTTGAGTGCGTTGTGTACATTAGGTCTACTGTGTCGACACTGTAATATGTTATGTGTTTTCTCTTTTTTAAATGTATACGTTTAAAAATGTGGACTGTTTTTGTGGTATATAGACATAGAATAAGGATACAATTTTGAAAACAACTAAAATCGATTTTACTCAGAAATCTTCGGAGATAATAATTTTATGTTCTAAGCTGGTCTGCCATAAATGAACAACCATTGTCGTAAAAATAGCACTGTATATTATTATCATACTGTGGTCTTATTATCGAGTTAAATTCGACCGCACTACTGAAGGTTTGTGTTGTAATAATCCTACTAATATTATAATATAATTGCGAACATTTGGTTGAATGGATGGTTGGTATGTTTGCAGGTAATCGAACTCAGAGAGGGAGATTGGAATTTGAATAGGCCATCCATAATTCTTCCTCCTCTCCAACTATAAGAAATACAATTTTTTTTAGAATTAAATTCTCCATAAAATATCGCGTAATATTTTGTGTAATGTTTGCCAAAGTATCAGTTGATCTTGTTAGCTTTTATATGTATTGAGAACTAACGGAAATAACAAACAAATTAATCGACTTTTAATATTTAAAAACTGTTAACTAGACAATAAAATTGCCCAGGCAATCTTAAAAATAACTATTTACAGACCGGCCACTTAGCCCCCGTATATTTGTTACCACTTCTCGTCTCACCTACTGAGCGGATTAAGCTGAAACTTTTGATACATGTAGTTCTAGACAAGGAGTAACATAGACTACTTTTTGTTCACCGTATTCAAGCCTTAATTGAGGGATTTATCCAACAACCCTGTAATAGAGAGTAATTGGTAAATTTACTTACTTGTTATCTTCATGATACGGATGATTATTTTTTTATTATTTCTTTTGGACCAGTCAACGCTGTGCGCGAATAACGAGCAATTTACATACATATATAGATATTGTAAATAAAGTACTCTGAATATTTTGAAAATAATTATTTTGGGAAGCATTCAATACTGTATTACGAATAGTTTTTAAAAATACTTTATTTCTAAAAAAAAAAAACAACTTCTCTGTTTCGTTTAAGAGTGTTTAAAGCTTTACTCAATATAGGACGTATGCAGTATTTATTCTCGGAAAACATTTTTTGGTTTGGTACCTATTAATGCTCAGGTTTTTTTTAAACAGTAATTTAAAAGACGCGTAATATTTACCCAGGAGTACTCGATTGAAATCATTTTTTAAAATTCCCAACTGTTAAAACATAATTCATAATATTATGTTATAAATAGCATCGTAAAATATCAATAGTTTCCTTATATCATTCCAACTTAACATTACATTTCGTTTAAACATATATTCGTAAAATATTCCAAATAATATTTTTAATAATGTATCCGGAATATTTTAAAAATACAATTTATGTAATGTATAAATTTAATTTAATCATTAATTTAGTCATTTAATTTTGACCGCAATTTTTCGTATGTAGGTCTTTGAATTTTTATTTTAAATACTTTTTAAAAAATATTTTACCCAAATCTGCGCGAATACAAATATGATCAAATCGACTTCTTTTATCTGAATTATTATTTTATATAGTTTACATTAACCTTCATCAAAATAGTAATAAATAATAATATATAACACATCCTTCGCGTGTTATAATATTTTTGTATCTAAAATTATACATACGTTTTAGAAGGCATCGATTTGCAGTTTCCTTGAAAGTCACGGCAGTGCGTATGCATATTAGCGGTACGTCAAAATTCGTTTCACAGTATACCTAGGTATATACTTAAAACAACTCCCGTCGTAAAATACTGACCCGAATGTAATATGTTTAGACGCAAGGAGTATACATAATAAATAATAATATTGACGTGATTATAATAATATTATTATTATCGACGATGTATAATATCATTCGTTTTCACGTCGGAAATTATTCTGAAAATCAAATTAATATTTGATAGTTTAATAATTATTATTATTGAATGCATAACATAATATTTACTGCCGAGATACACCACGGTAATTTCCGACCGTGTAACATTTTAACGATATTATAGGCTATACAATATTATGTTTACGTGAGATGGTTTCGTGTTGGTGTGCGATTGATACTATAATCTTATTTACTATCAAGGACTCGAATGGAGATCGCCGAATGATCTATTTGGCGTGAGCGTTTTCCATCAAAATGAACAGTTTCATTTTCCGCCGATTGTGTCCTTTGTCGTGTTTTCAACCGAAATTAACGTCACTCTTTTCTGTCATAACGCGCGTTCCAAACATAACGATTTATTGACCGATTTCCACCAAGATTCCGCAAAAAAAAATGTTTTGTAATCCGAAATAGTTCATGTCTACACATTATATTATAAACCGTGATTAAAAAAACAATAACTGACATACTTCACGCAATGTGTGGGACTCTGTTCTTTGTGAGAAGTTGGAAAATATAGGGCAAATTTAATGTATGCCTGTACGTTACAATTAAACATTACAAAAGAAGAACGATTCTGGGCGAAATTCGGTTGTTTGAAAGGCCGTAATATTTACAATTTGAAAATAATACGTTTCGTAAATTTTTCCATTTTTTACGGTCTTTCCCAATTTATTATGAAAACCACTGGGAAAATCAAAAAAAACTTCCTTAAAGTACCACTCCAGTCCAATTTCCATTCAGAAAGGGCCCTAATTGAGTATCGGTTCGTGCAGAATCTAAAATTTAAATACAAAATATCTATTTCAAATAATTTTCAATACGTAAATTAATAAAAAAATTACTCAAATACCATTAATATTTACAAAAACAAATACTATGTACACGATTAAAACAATAAGTGTTGCATTAAAAACATACAATAATTCGTCAAATAATTCGTGATAAATAATTAAACCGACGTCCTATTTTATCGTACACATACATTTTGGACCTTTCGGGCCATTTTACCGAACATAGTAGGCCGAATACTCCGCATTCCGTTTCTGGAATCAATGGTTTTAATTTCGGCTGATAAAACAAAACATTACACAGTATAATGTTAATTTTAATCTATACCATACATAGGTGTACTATACTCGTACAATATTAATCGTATTGCTGCCTAAATGCATTTTTTTACAATAGTATAGGTCAAATATCAGTAAAGCTATGCGGTTTTTTTTTTGTCCGTAATTCGTTATAGTCTCCGTGAACCGTTCTATTGAACATGATTAAAATAATTATTTAGAGATGAATATTTTCAAATACAAGAATACAAAGAATTTATCTAAATTCTAATTCTATAAAGTAAAAGTTTAAAAAAAAAAAAATAAAATGGCGGGTCCTTTGATTAATGAAATCCGTGTAATTTATAAAACAAATCATCCGGGATCTAAATTTGGTACTAGTCTGTCCGCCCTATTAATATTGTATAATATTATGTCATATTATTAGTTATGAATTTAAATCGCAAATGACACTCAGAAATTACTTAGTTTTTATTTTCCAATATTCGTAACTCAAATATAAACTAAAAATATACAACCATTGTACTATCCGAAAACGAGTAAGAAACATTGTATACGGCGTACGAACTATGTTTTTTTTTCTTTAATTAACCCAGCGAGACGTTGAATAATTGGAACACGCCAAAAATGTCCACATTATAGACGGCATAACCTATGTAATTGGACACAGCAGCTGATCAACTGCGCAGATGGTACCTACTTTAGACTTTAGAGTACAGTCATTTTTCAAACTTCTTATATATATAATAATTCAATGCCTCGAATTTTCGAGAAAAACTCCAAGTAACCCGCGGCAGTATATTATGTTTACACTCGATAATATATAAAACAAACATTATTACAACCAATTAAAAATACTATGTTTTCGAATAAATTGCCATTTATTTTCATTTATAAGTCGACAAATAAATCTCGGATAGATAATACTACAATAGTTTACAAAGTTACTTATTATTTATCGAATATTTAACATTATAATATCTAACCTAAAAATCTCAAAAAAGAAGCCTACAGTGGGCCGGACGCTCCTGGCGTATAGTCAGAATCCCATGGCGTGCGTGGGATTGAAAAATTACTCAGCGGAAAAGACCGGAAGATGCGGTAAAAAGATCTAAAAGCTTTGGGTGGAGAACGTTAGAGGAATGGATGTTTGACGGCATGGTCCTAGTGATCGTTTACCCAAAGAAGATGATGATAATTTAGATTGATCGTCGTAGTAATACTAATTTATAGATAGGTAACTACCAGTAACTACCAGTAAGATACGCAGGATTTTTTTTAGGAGAAGAGGGGTCGTGATTACGAATAATAATTTCCTAGAGAAGGTATGGCACATATTACCAGTGCAGTACTTTACTATCACTTTCATAACTGAATAAATGATTTTTGATGACATTAAATTTCATTTTATTGTGTAGTAAAAGATATTAATTATGTTGCTGAACGTAAAACTTGATTTAACAAAATATAATGAAGGAAGACATTTAGAGAGGTCTGATTCCTTATCCCTCATCTATGTGCATCATTGGCAGTGGCTCTAGGCGACTAAAGAAGTACGTTTAAATATTAGAGAAAACATAATCACCTATCTCGACTTTAAATAATAATAATTAACAATCAATAGGTTTTTGATGAGTACGATAGGTACGGATTTTTAAGAAAAATCATATTTTTAAAAATGTATTATGCCGTTCGATGGGAGTAAGAAATTATAGTATTTCATTACCTGTAGAATTAAAAAAAAAAGTTTATTTTGCTTATTTTGATTTTAGAAAATATTTTACAGAATATTTTATCATATGGTATTAAAGAATTAAAGAGTATTTTAGCATATTTACGCTACCTCAACCGAATTGCATTATAGAATATTTTCGAGATTTTAGGAGTTTTAATTTTTAGTCACCGTTACTCGTTAATATCCTGCGATAAATTATTTTTTGTTTAATCGGCATGAAATCCAACCGTAGACATAACTTTGCATAAAGATAGGTACACTGGGTGATTTTTTTTATCATGAACCAGCAATCATCTCAGATGATTTTAAGTGAATTGGAATTCTGTTTTTTCTAATCATTAAGGAATCGTTTAAGATGTATTTTAAAACCATTTTTAATATTTTACCCCTACTCCATGTACCTTAAACAAATGTACAATTTTGATTTTCAAACAGGATCCCTTCTTTTGAACACAGATTTAAATAGAGAATATTTGTCTAGACATGTTTATATGCGTAACACTTATATTAGATTTACCGTTTATAGGTTATAACAGTTTAAAATTTAGACCGGAGGAGTAATTATAACCCTAATTATCGCGAAGGTGCACTAGCCAATTAAAATACTGATACAGCGACTGTTATTGGATAACCGAACTAGACATTCAAATTGTAGTGATTTTTGTTTTTATTAATATGTGTTGACTATATATGATTTTTATGACTTGTTTTACTCGCATCTGTATTAAAATGTATTTATATTAGGGGTTTTTTTTTTTTTGTATTGGTGTTGTGTGTTTAATGTAATTAATGAATGTAAATAGTTAATAGCCGTGCGATAAATAAATAAAATAAGTGACTGTTATGGGTCCAACTGTTTTAGTTGGCCGTTCGTTTTTTTTTTTTCTCTTTTTCCGAGAATATTCAGGATGTTTTCGGAATGTTAGAGAATATTTCAGCAGTTTTTTACGCGCGTTATAAACACCGGTGTTATGTTAACAAGGTTTAACAGAATATCAATCCAGACTCTGGAGCGATAACTAACGAACCGTAAGTTTTAAATTAATTGGCGCGCAGTGGCTTATCGCGTATCGTCGTTTAATCGACATGTACATTTATACACACGTTTTGTACGCGTATTGTTTGCCAAGTAGCTATGCAATATAATGATACGTTCGAATTAACGTGGCCGCCGCGCTATCGAGTGACGGCTCGGCCACAAGGCGATCCTGCGTTCAGAATTCGTAAACGGCTTTCGTGTACAATATTATCGCGGCAATAATACGCGCGTGTATAATAACCGAACGCGGCGAACACCGAGTATTTAGTACAGAAATACAGATGTCTATACACACATACATATAGGTAACGGGTACCCATTATGTGACGAGGGATTACTGAAAACCGATTCGGAATACAAACTACGAATTATCATGGTGTGTGTGTGTGTGTGTGTGTGTGTATAGCCCAACTTGCATTATACGAGCGAAATCGGCGGAATGGGGAAAAATATAATAAAAACGAATAAACCGCCGAGTGTATTAGGTGCACCGGCATATAACAATAATACGCCGGTACTGTTTGGTACTGTTTCCGAATGCGAATCGTCTTTAATTACTGTAAGCGTACGCTTTCGACCGTATGGGCACGGGCCGTACTTCGATACGACAGATTTATTTATTTTTATTCTTTTAGTCAGGTATTTACGATTATCTTTCGAAAAAAAATAAAAAAAAATCTAGTTAGACATCGAATAATGGAGCTTACGTTGTTTACCGTTTTGTAAAATATACTATTTGATAAACACCGTTCGGAATATATATTACAAATATTTGGTTATGCGCAATAATAGTGTAAAATATTTTTCAATCTTTTACAAATTCCGTGCACATTTTCGAGTTTTTTTTTTTCTCTCTCTCGGAATTCCGCTAGTTGTGCAATTTTAAACTCCCAACAATGTGCAACGAATCCATCCGTACAAATTAAGTAATCGCACGTGCGTGTAGTAACAACCACAAGTGTTGGGTATTGGTCGTGTACTATTTTTTGCGACAGAAATTTATAAATTAAATAACTTTGTTTGAATTTTCCTACAAACTCCAACTATGTCCGACAAGTCGGAAAAGACATTGTTGGGATATTTTTTTTTTTTTTTTAGTGTTTTGTAAACTTTGTAACTTATATCTCAATTTAAACTAGATATATACAATTGGTTAAAAAAAAAAAAAAAAAAAAAAAAAAAAAAACAATGATTTGTTTGGGATATTTTCATACTAATTATTAAAAAATAAAAAATATTTGTGGAAAGTGTAAAAAGTTACAACACTGGGTAAACTTAAAAATTTTAAAAAATGACCACTTTATCAGCCCATGTAGGTAAGGTGACCGATTTTGTAACTTTAAAAAAATTCAAATTACATTTTTTTCTTATTGCATAAAATTGTTGACGTAAAAATTCAAGGTCATTCAATTAAACATTTCCTAAACGCTTAAATTTTCCAAGGGTAGCCATGTCTTTCCCCTGCCAACAAATATATCTTTATCAAATATTGAAAAAAAAAAAATAATACTTTCAGAGATCGAGTTTTTATTTTTGTTATTGCTATAAGTTCCTACTCTCGTATATTATAATATAATGTGAGTCAAATCGAAACATATAAATTTTAATATATCTATACACATATAATTATAGTAATATCATATTATCTCTGAGTTATTTATTGTATCCGGTTTAGCTAGTATTATAAAAAAATATTATTCTCCGTTTAAATTTGTTAGGTACCTAACAATAGGTATTGCGTTACTCTTATATTCATGTTACGTACGATGTATAGATGGCGGCAGTGAACGTAAAACGAATTAAATACTCTATGCCACGCGAGAGAATTACAACACGAATTGGTTTCCGACGCAATAAAATCGTCGCTAAAATTTCACCGATCAAAAATAATGTATGACATAATATTGTTAACTTCACTATTAAATTGATCGGGTAAATTATTGGATTATATAATTGTTTACATATAAAATCGAATAAAAAAAAAAATAATAATAATAATAATTACTGAGTAATGTCCATGGCTACTGTGTTCCAAGTGGGAAATTAGAAAAGTAGAATTTTTAGTACATAATATACGCATAGGGCAATTTATTCATATATTTTTTTTCAAATAAAGTTAATTAATTAACATGATTATAAGTATGTTCAAAATGAACCGCCTACCATGTATTTCACCATCTGAACATTTCTCCGATAGCGGAAGTACTGGAACTTATACGCGTGTGAAAACAATGTCAGATAACGACGACGTCGTCGTCTCGTACATTTAATTTTTACACGTCGAATGTTTCTAGGACTTCCGAACACTTTTTGGAAAAGACCGAGGTTTTCCTCATTATCTTGAA